TGCTGTCCCCCCCGCCCACTTCCCAGGAGCCCGAGTGGCTCCGTGCAGGGATGGGTAACGGGCTCCCGTGTGGCGGAGCCGGTGGAGCTCCCGGGGGTGGTTCGGGAGGGTTTCCATCCCGGAGGGGGCGGGAAGGCTGTGGAGGAGGGAGGGAGGGCAGGGCCATGGAGAGATTTGCAGGGCAAAATCAAATACGTGCTCGAGGCTGCAGCTAGTGACCCTGGGCGTAGCGGAGCAGGGGACACGAGCTCCTCTAGCTCCAGACTGGGGCCGTCGGCGTGGGGCCCGGGCACGTCAGCATCCTGGGGCAGAACTCACCCAGGGGAGGGCAGCGGACACTGGTGAAAGCAGAGGAGCAGAAACAAGCCTTGAGTGGCGGGAGGGCAGGCCCAGCAGATAACAAGGAAGCTACCGAAATCCACCCTGGGGGCAGTGCAGCCTGGAGGCCCTGGGGAAGCAGCTGAGTCCTGCGAAAGGAGCCGTGCTGGAGGGGAGGAGCAGGGCTGCTGAGGTTTGGGCTCCAGCGAGAGCTGGGCCAAACAGCGACGCCGGGGACTCCGTGTCCGTACCGGCAGGAGGGAGGGGCCTTGGGCAGGACTGAGATGGAGACCAGCGGTGGGGGTTTCCGACCGCTGCCAACCAACGCAAAGCCCTCGGGAGGCTGATGGCTGCCAGGGGTTTGCCAGGCTGCTGTGAGGTGCTGTGTGGGTCATGGGAGCCAGGCAGGAGTGAACCCTCCAGGAAGTCTCCCTTGCTAAGGGCTTGTTCTCTTTTCTAGAGAGAAGCGGCTGGTTAGACGGCACTCTGCAGGGACCAGGCCGGGGTACAAAGCGCTGCTCCCGGGACTCCCCTCCCTATAGCGCTCCTCTCTCCCCCAAGTTACCAAAGACTGACCGTCACCCTCTGGAAGGTGAGCACAGCATGGCTTCCCACCCGGCCTGCCTGGGGCCAGCGGGGCCAGTGCCAGCCTCTGTGCCCCTTGCTTTGGCCAGCTTGTGCCATGTTACCGTCACAGCTCTCCAGGCATTTGGAGTCAACCCAGCCACAGTGTCAGCCTGCTGCAGTGAGTTCCCCGGGTCGTATTCCACGGCAGCCTGCTGCAGTGAGTTCCCCGGGTCGTATTCCACGGCAGCCTGCTGCAGTGAGTTCCCCGGGTCGTATTCCACGGCAGCCTGCCGCAGAGAGTTCCCCGGGTGGTATTCCACGGCAGCCTGCCGCAGTGAGTTCCCCGGGTGGTATTCCACGGCAGCCTGCCGCAGTGAGTTCCCTGGGTCGTATTCCAGGGCAGCCTGCCGCAGTGAGTTCCCCGGGTGGTATTCCACGGCAGCCTGCTGCAGTGAGTTCCCCGGGTGAACTTGGTGCTAGAAGGAAGGGACCCTGCTGCCCCCCCTCCGGTCCCACAGCCAGCGCCACGTGCTGCGCTAGAGCTCATCTAGGATTTCCCCAGGGCAGGGTCCCTCGGCCTGAAGCAGCTCTTGGCTGTGGCTGGAGAAGGTGGGAGGTGTCTCCAGAGGGCTCGTTTCTGCCCCAGAGCTGGGCTGGGAGGCCAGGGTAGGCTGTGTGAGATGGAGTGAGTGTCCTGTAGGCGTCCGCTAGACCCCGGGGCAGCGACTTGTCATGGTGCCACTGCAAGAGTCTGGCAAGTGGGCAGGGGCTACCCTCCTCCGTGGAATGAATAGGGGTGCGGGGTCTGGGGTGCGGG